TATCTGCAATTGTGGGTCGATGAGGAGGTCCCTGCATCCCTGCAAGTCATCAGCTGACGAGAGCTACTATAGTGCTGCCTCGGTGTTCGCCGCCAACACTATCCTCCGGTCCGCGGTGGGCGCATGCTTCCCCTTGTTCGCCAAGCAGATGTTCGTCAACCTGGGGGTGCAATGGGCAGGCACCTTACTGGGATGCCTCGCCGCGATCATGATTCCCATCCCACTGGGGTTCATCCTGTATGGCCCAGCACTGCGGCGAAAGAGTAAATTTGCGCCATCGCCCGTAGTCTTCCAGGAGAAAGCTTGTTGATAAGCACACGTGAAAATGTTCCGTAACAGATTAGAAACCTACTTCATTTGGTTGCTCATTTAGTTGCTTCTTAGCCTGCAGTTTTCCGGCGGTTGCCAAGGCTGGCCACCAGTTTTTCCGCCGCTTAGCGAAGTAACCCTAGCCGATAACAATCAGGAGATATTCACTGCAACGATGCTGATTGCCTGGAGGCGAATTGCCAAGCACGCCACCCATGGACAGAGCAGCCAGTCCAGTCTGGATCCATTCCTTTGCCAAGCTGCCAAGATGATAAGGAGAAAATTTCCCACACGTTGCTTTCCCGATCGCGTGCGGGTGCTTATCACTTGGCCTCGTTCCCCGGCTCCCGCGACATTTTTTTTCGCCGCTTCTGCCTGACAGACCACATATAATCCCTGGTTCCCCGGGCTTGGGGGGAAAGCTGTCAGCGTTGTCTTGTTTTTTTAATTTCATTCCTCGAGCTTGTCTCGCAGCAGATTGTCTTGCAATAGACTGACAGTCGCCTTGCACCATGGGTTTGCAGAACTGGGTGCATGAAACCAATCTCGCGGTGGCTCGCAGCCCCGTGGGGAGATGGTTCCGGTTGGAGAACTCGGGCCATGTAAGTGGTGGCACTTTGTGGATGCACAGCGGTGCATCGCGAGCGTGACTGATCCCTCCCTTAGCCCAAGGAACGCAAGGGTAGTTTCTTCTTCACCGAGCTCCGCGCCGGTCTCGCCACCTTCTTCGCGATGGCGTACATCATCAGTGTCAACGCGACCATCACCTCCGAATCGGGTGGTCCCTGCGTCTGTCCCGCGGACAGCATGTCCGATCTCTGCGCCACCAACACGGAGTACCTCCTGTGCGTCGAGGAGGTCAACCGCGATGTCGTTACCGCGACCGCTGCCATTTCGGCCCTATCGACCTTCTGCATGGGACTTTTCGCCAATCTTCCGGTCGCACTCGCCCCAGGCATGGGTCTCAACAGCTATTTCGCATACACAGTGGTCGGATATCACGGATCGGGTTTGATTCCTTATGGAATCGCTTTGACGGCCGTCTTTGTGGAAGGTTTCGTCTTCTTGGCTCTGACGCTGTTGGGTATCCGACAATGGCTGGCCCGTGCGCTACCTGCCTCGATCAAGCTGGCCACCGGCACGGGTATCGGACTGTATCTGACCTTGATCGGCCTCACTTATAGTGCGGGTATCGGACTTGTGACGGGCGGCACCAGTGTGCCCATCGATCTGGCAGGATGTACCGAGAGCCTAAAGGATGCGACCACTGGTGCTTGTCCTTCCTCCGCTGTCATGCGCAGCCCGACCATGTGGATCGGTATCTTCTGCGGTGGTGTGCTCACCGTCGTCCTCATGATGTACCGAGTCAAGGGTGCTATCATCATGGGTATCCTCCTTGTCTCTATCATCTCGTGGCCCCGCCCCACCGATGTCACCTATTTCCCTCATTCTTCGATCGGAGACAGCCGTTTCGACTTCTTCAAGAAGGTGGTGACCTTCCATCCCATCACGCGCACGCTCGTCGCGCAGGAGTGGAACATCAGTGGTCACGGCGCGAAGTTCGGGTTGGCTTTCATCTCGTTCTTGGTACGTGAATATTCCCTAACGGCTGGTGAGGGCACACGACTAACAGCAGCAGTATGTCGACATTCTCGACACAACGGGAACGCTGTATTCGATGGCGCGCTATGCAGGCACGATTGATCCGGTCACGCAGGACTTCGAGGGCAGCTCTATTGCCTATGTGAGTATCCTCAGTCGTTCTTTCTGTGCGCTCCGACGCTAATTGTCCCCAGATGGTGGATGCCATTTCGATCTCGATCGGGTCTCTGTTTGGAGTTCCGCCCGTGACGGCTTTTGTAGAGAGTGGGGCTGGTATCTCAGAAGGAGGCAAGACGGGGCTGACATCCTGCATGACGGGCCTGTGCTTCTTCATCTCGGTGTTCTTCTCGCCAATCTTTGCCTCGATCCCTCCCTGGGCGACTGGTTGCACGCTGGTCATCGTCGGGGCGCTGATGGCGCAGGCGGCGACGCAGATCAACTGGAAGTACCACGGCGATGCCATTCCGGCATTCTTGACGATTGCCATCATGCCGTTCACGTATAGTATCGCGTACGGGTTGATTGCCGGTATCTGCAGCTACATCACGATCAACGGCATCACGTGGGTGCTGGCGAAGGTGACGGGCGGGCGGTTGGTGCCGCCCAACTTGGACGAGAGTGAGCCATGGACATGGCGGATTCCAGGAGGGCTGTTCCCTCCGTGGTTGAAGCGGGCGGCGCGAGGTAAGAAAGACTTTTGGCGCGACGATTCGATGGATCGGTCGTTTGGAGGAGAGGAGGAGGAGCGACGCTCGGTGGTGTCTAAGGAAGAGGAGTTGCGGGAGAAGAAGCAAGTGGTGGATGTGAAGCCACAGCCGGTGTAAACACACAACATGTGACCTTGGAGCCTGAGGCCACAATCCAGGTCTTCCAGGTCCGCGTCCAACGCTGCCGCGCCTAGCCGGCGCCTCGCCACTTCCGCCTCACTTACTCGTATGAGGACTCAGCTCTACCGGTTCTATATGTAACATGAGCGTCATAATAATAACACTAATTATGAGTATTTGTCACGAGCATTCCCTTTTGCTACGCCACACCCATCGGCACAAATCTCACGGAAATCAAATCCCTCCTGATAGTTCCCGATGATACATGGTAATTTCCACGCAGGAACAGAACACCAAGATCGCTGTGGCCACCGCATCTGGTGGTTTTAGGGCGCTTTGGCCCGTATCGAGTTAGGCCTCACCTGGTGGCTGATACTTTATTGGGACTGTTGGGTCCGGGCGGCCATAGGAAATGATTTCCGGCAGGTAGCATGAACCACGATGGGCGAATGATGAGGTACGTAGGAGTGAATGCCGGTGTTGGCCCCAATTTTTTAGTCGATACAGCGTCCAAGTGCCGAGCAAGCCCGAGCTACCAAATTACTATAAGCTATGGCCTAGGAGTGAAAAGATGGGAGTCTCTTTCGGTGCGCAAGTCGAGAGACTTGAGATCCGACCGGTCTAAGACCTCGATAGGTCGCTGCACTGCTCCCTGACTGGGGTAAGGGGGGGGGGGGGGGGGGCGAATTCCCGACCAGGTGGTTACGGGGTGGTAGGAGTCACAAGGGTTGGGGGGGGGGGGGGGGGGGGGGGGAAACCTGTTCTTTTCTCAGTGTCTCTCGTCCTCTTGAGGTTCTGACTACTAAAGTAGTGGGCCTCAACATTTTTTTGTTCTTGGATTGAGACCGTGTGGGAGTGACGATCGCCTAGGAATTTGATTGATTGAGTCGAATAGTCGAATGAATCAGTTCGATTGTTCCCTAACTTTTACCTTTCAACCTTGTTGGCAAACCCGATCGGCCGGCGGAGATAGCCAGGCACTATCTGCCACCCAATCATAAACAGCGGAGATAGTAGGCGACAGGCTGATTAGTCCCGTGACTGGGAAATCACCAGTCAGATGCAACAGCGTGCTCCAGCATTGCCGGTTTCGGGAATTTGCCCCCCATTCCTGATTCGGTTCGGCCGGCAGGAAGGAATCATCTCGGGAATAGTTCCCAGCTGAGAAGGAGTTATCCTAGCAAATGAATGGATGGATGGACTTAGGATGTACTTTTCCAGCCTGCTTTGGCTTCAAACGTACGGAGTATGACTACGGGGTACCCATGGTTCACGGTTCATGGTTCATGGACCCATGATGCCCGAATGCTGCCACTTGCCTAATCCAGCAACCTGCGTCGACATGGATCAGATCTACTACATACTACCGTATGGACTGTACAAGCTGAGAAGAGACTGACTGTAGTTGTGACTGAATTGAGCCTTTGCATTTTGAACTAATACCTATCAAGTACCTACAGGCAACTGGAGTCAATAGTTCTTTGCCTGCATGATCCGTGTCGGTCTATTGTCGTCTATTGTCGATTGTCGATTGTCGATTGTCTATTGTCTACACAAAGTACAGAGTATTCTCCCATTCATACAGGAACTGGAAGTATGAGCATGAGCATCTAGCATGAGCATCTAGCATCAAGCGGGTCGATCCACTTTCTTTCCCTCCTCCACCTTTTGGTTTGAACTGAGGTCCATCCATTTCAATCCATTACCTATTATCCACTTTGGTCCCAATCGAGTGGAAGGGATGTTCCCACCACCCAATCGTCCGCCGTCATTCCTCTTTCTCCCCCTCCCTCGCGCTGGATCGACCTGCTTTCTCTCCTCTCCTGCACGGGATCTGCCATTCTGAGGCTGCTCACTCCTACTCCTCCACCTCCAACCTGAACTACCTACTTACTTTTCCGTACTTAACTTACTAAACTAACACCACCACTAATCAACACTTCTACCACTCACCACCCCATTCACACATTCATGCATTTCCGTCTTTTCCCTCCTGCGGTTCCCTCCTCTCTTTCTCCTCCTTCCCCTTCTCCTCTTTCTTCTACTATCCTGCCCTCTTCCTCCTCTTATCTTTGCGATTCTTGCGCCCTGTTATCTTCGACCCTTTCACTTCCTCCTTGACCTCTCCTTCCTCCTTCATCCCCTTCCTTCGCTCTATATTCTCTCGCCGTTGTCCCTTTGCTTCTTCTTTTTCTCCTCCTCCTTCTCCTCCTCTCCCCACCTTCTGCTTCTCCCCGTGCGATTCAGTCATGGATCCTCATCATGTCCGATACTAAGTCGCGCCCGTTGGCTCCGGCCCCTCCTGGTGCCAATGCTGCTCTCGACAACCATCAGCGCAGAAAGAATGTTGGTACTGCTTGTGCCGCCTGCAAAGCGCGGAAACTAAAGGTGCGCGGCTCATCCTCCTCCATTATTTCTCGCCTTTGCCCTTCTCCCTTCTCCCTTCTCCCGTCTCCCTTCGCACGCACACTAACCGAACGGCGGACTATAGTGTACCGGATCCGTGCCCTGTGCCAGCTGCGTCAAAAGCAATGTCGAATGCACTCTTGACAAGAGCGCCGACAAGCGCCGCCGGGGCGCTCTTAAACGCAAAATCGATGAATTGGCCGACAAGGAGGAGTTGCTGGTCCGCCTCGTGGGTGCTATTCGCGAAAGTGGCAATGGCCATGTCATGCCCCTCATCGACCTCATCCGTACCGATCCCACCCTCGACGAGATCCGCCAACACATCCACCTCCATATCCCGCAGTCGGAAATGGAGTTGACGCCCGACCTGGCTCAACTGAGTCGCGAAGTTCAACATCTACAATCCTCCGACCGCTCGCGACCTATGCGCCGCATGCTCGAAGCCAAGCGTGCCGCCGACTCGCCACGGTACCTCGTACCGGCGCATCCTTGGACCGTTGTAGTACCGGACTCCCATTTTGTTTCACATCTCATATCGCTCTGGTTTACCTGGTCGCATCCCTTCCGCAACTGGATCGATCGGGACCTGTTCTTGCGGGAGATGCAGACCGGCAAGCGGTCAGGGCGATTCTGTTCTCCGTTTTTGGTCAACAGTATCCTCGCCGACGCATGTGTAGGTTGGCACAGGTCTCGTGATAGCTTTACGCCGAGCTGAGCTAATCAGATTAGGCCTACTCGGACTATCCGGACGCGTTCACCATCCCCGGCGATGCCGCTTCCAAGGGCGTTCATTTCTACGAGGAAGCGAAACGATCACTCGACCAGGAAGCCGGGCGGATCACATTGCCGACCGTGCAGGGTCTGGGGATTTTATGGTCGTGGTAGGTCATTTGGACGACACCTCCAACCAAGTTCCTGGGTTGACCTTCCACGTAGTGCTGCTCGGACCGGTCGCGACCGTCAGGGCTGGATCTATCGTAACCAGCTTGCCTACGCACTGCAAGAACTCTTGCAGGAGAACTCCACCCTCGCCGCTAATCCCGACCTGGATACCTTGCGGATGGTTCATGGGCTGAATCGCACCGTCTGGGGGTTATTCAACGTCGCCACGTACGGCCCCTTAGCCCGAATTCTGACTTCTGCCTCCTCCTCTTCCATCGCCCCCCTGCGCCCGGTCCTGATGAAGGAGCTCCACTGACGCGTCGGCCAGGATCAATGCCCTGACCGACCGGAGCCGCCCGTCGATACCCTTACCCGACCGCCACCGGCTCCCACCTTCGCGCCATGAGGGCGGCCCAGATGACATATGGCAGCCCTATCCACGCCCGGTCGCTGGCATCCCTGGTCACGTGGACTGTCTATTTATCGCTCTCTCGAACTTGACTCCGATCGCCTACGAGGTGACTCGATTATTCGAGCTTCCGCCACGCGCCGATCTTGCCGCGCGGGTAACTGTTCTGCATGAACACCTCCAACATTGCGCAGACCACTGGCCTGCATGCTTGAAAGGCACGCGACTCGAAGCGCCTCATATCCTGTGTCTGCAGTGAGTCCATAGTCTATGAGTCCATGGTATTCGATCTGGTTCGACTGGTAACTTACCGAGGGATGTAGCATGTATTACCACCTGATTGTCCTGACGCTGTATGGAGTGGTTCTATCCGGCACACCGCCTTCGCCGACCGACCGGGTTGGGCTCCACGCCCGCGCTGTGCGGCTCTCGGCGGCGCGAAACATTGCCCATCTGACTTGCATTCATCGCTCGTGCTGGGGCGTGGAGCGGATGCCGGTCAGCAATAGCTCCTGTCTGTTGGGGGCTCTTCTCGCTCTGTTGGATGGGCTAGACGAGCCCGACAACCGAGAGGCGTTTATCACCCTTTCCGTTGCCGCCAAATCATTAACACGACGGTGGGACGGTGGGGAGAATCTGCTGGGGATCGTGCGCACCACAGCCCAGGCTCAAGGGGTGATTTTGCCCGTGGAGACCGCCTCTCTCTTTACAACTTTTCTGTTACCACTAGCCACCACCCCGATTTCGGGAGTCGACGAATCCCCCGATGGGGCGGAGGAAAGCAGTCCCGCCGGATGAGGTGGCCTGAAACCCTCCTTTGCCCATGCCCAAGTTGATACCCGAGAGGATCCAATGATCCCTCCTCAACGGGCCAGCGAGCCCTGAACCGACCGGCCTGTGTGCCGGTCTACGACTGAATCTTGAGCCATGCCATTAGCTGGACCTGGACTGTAGCGACTAGTAGCCGGTCACTCCTCAGGATTCGACCCCAGCTACTTGCGGGCTCCCGATTCAGCATTTGTCTCATGTGTCTCTGAATCACTGCCATCTTAAATTAGTAGCTATTGCACCATCATTTAACATCTTATAATCATAACTCATTATACATCATGTCTGCCCGGATCGATCCTACAGAGTAACTCAATGCACTGTCTATGATCTCCACCCCGCGAACATCCAAGTCATCACTTCATAGCTCCCGTCAGTAACCCCTTCCCGGGCCTTGCGTCACCTTCACACCGTCTCCACCCTCTGTCTCACCGGCATCTTTCTGGTTCTTCTCTTTGCAGGCAGGAAGTAATGCCACCAAGCCCAGACCGCCATGGTGGCGAGGGTCAGGGGGATCGTCACCGCCCAGTACAACCAGAACGAGCCTGCCATGAACCAGGTGTGTTCGTCGCCGTCGGTGAAGTTGAAGAAGTTGGTCCCGAAGAGGCCCTAAGCCGTCAGCCATCAGCTCCAGAACAACTCTCCTTCTCAAAGCTTATTGTGTAAAAAACAAAGACCCACGTACCGACACAAACGTCCCCGGCAGATAGACCATACTCACCACGGCGATGGTCTTCATCATCGCCGAATCGGACTTGGTGTCGTGGCCGAACCGCTGAGAGACGAGATTGAACCCCTAACCCCCACTTTCTGGTTAGCGAGATGACCAGTGCAAGAATCAACTCAATCTCCAGAAAAAAAAAAAGGGCAGAATGGGAAGGCCTCCACGCACCAGATTGATCTCATTGTGCAACCGCTCCGTGAGCGAGCGGCTGCGCGTGTGCAGCGCATGGAGCTGTTTGGCGAGGGCGCGGAGAGCGCGTTCGGTCTGGAGAGTAGAGAGGTGCGTGCTTGTGGTTGGTGCTGGGGCGCAGTGGCTGTGGTTGTAGCTGTGATTGTGATCATAATGCGATGGGGCGTTGTAGCTGGGTGTGGGAGTGGGAGTGGGAGTGGGAGTGGGATTTGGTATCCCTGCTACTGCTGCTGCTGCTGGAGAATACAACCCCGCCGACCGAATCTGCTCCCTCACCAAACTCTCCACGGTATGCTGGGCCACCTCGAGGGTCTCGTTGGCGTGGAAGATGTGGCGCGCGATGTCGTGCAGGTGCGGGAAGAAATCCGGCGTCAGGGCCGTGGGGTTGAGTCGGCCCTATCCTCCCTCAACTCTATAAGTATTGCATCACGGACGGCTGGGGTCCTGTAGTGCTTGTTTCTTTTTGGTCCTTGAAGTGCAGGAAGGGCCAACTAACCTTCTCAATCTCCCGCACCAGATCCCGTAACCCCCATATCGACCGGTCGTATTCCGGGATCAAGGCCGTCGCGAACGCCGCGTGCCAGGCGTACGGGTCGTGCGCGCGCCGGCGGGCGGGCGGGGTGAAGGCTTTCAGGAATATGCGGGCCGCCAGCGGCAGGTCGATGCAGTAGACGGTCTGGTGGCTGGTGGTCGGGTCCCAGTGCACGTAGCAGGTGGCTTGCGTCCAGTGGTATTTGTGGGGTTCGACGACGCGTTTGATTTTGTAGGTGGACCATGATCCTTTAGACTGTCTGTTAATTTTGTGGTGGTGGGAAGGGTATATGAATGGGGGATGCGGGGTTATGGCTGAGGGGGAGTGGCTGGCTGGCTGGCTGGCTGGCTGGCTGGCTGGCTGGCTGGCTTACTGTGCTGGATCAATTGGCCGGCTTCGTTGGGGATGTCCTCGCAGTCGAAGGAGCCGTTCAGGTCCTCGGTGATGATGGGTTGGAAGCGGTCGGGGAAGAGGGGCAGGTGGGAGGGTTCGTTAAGGATCGTGGTCGAGGTGAAGCTAATTTCTTGATGTCAGGGTGCTGGTGGGTGCAGGAGTGGGACAGAATTGAATGAATACATTATTGTCGAGTAGCGTGGGGTCTATTGAGGTTGTTAGTATTGTTTGCTCAATTAAGCTGTGTGGAGGGAGAGTGTGTGACCTCTGCATCCAACTCAAGCAGCGAAATGCGCCGTTCTACCCAGTCATCTGGCTCTGTGACTTGGTTAGCCAGGTCTGGATTGCCAAAAAAAGCAAAGAAGAGGAAAACTTACCGCATTCCTCGAAAATCCTCGTCTCCGGTCGGTCGGCCGACGAGCTGGTGCGGAGTTTCTCCATTGCGCGCGGAGGGTTGAAGGCACACCCAGAACTAGGCGCCCATCGCGAGGCTGGTGATGGTTTGCCTCTTCTTATATACAAACAAACAGGCTCGATTGACAGCCTACTGCAGGCTAGACCAGCCTTGTTGGCGGCGCAGTTAGCCGCCGTACCTAGTGAGTCGAATCCCCCCGAATAAAATGAAGCCCAACCGTGGCGCCAAGCCGAGCTCATCCTGTAGGGCTTCGGCGAGGATGCGCCCGCGGGCGGCGTGTGCTGCGTGTGCTGGCGCTGTCTGTCATCTCGCATGGGGCTGTGGGCCGGGCCTGTCAAGGATATCTTGACGGTTTGGGTTCATGGAGATGGGAAGAGTGGAATTATGCTGGTTGTTGATGGTTGATTGTTGATTGTTGCCTAACTATTGAGAGTGTGAGACAATCACAGCCTTGTCAATACCCCAAGGACCCTTGTCAACGGTGGTGATGGTGGAGGCTGTTCCACCCCCCCCAAGAGACAATGTGGAGGATATGATTGCAGGAGATAAATGTCTCTTGTGTTCAGTACTTGCAGCTGACTTGCCATTGCCACTATACTACTGTTTTCGTCGGAACTACACTACAATTCCCCATGAACCGTGGCACAGGTGGGCGCACTCCCCACTTTATGGGTGTGGAGTCGACGAGCGACCGGGTGAAGTCAGTACGATTGCGGTGCAGAGAACCAGAAGAATTGAAGAATAAATGACAAAAAAAAGAATAAATAACTCATGGAAGAGAAGAGAAAAAGAAACAGCTCCGAACATATGACTACAGTCGAACAAGCAACAACCCTCCGGCGATAACCACAAATTACGTAGATTGACCCTCGCTGATAAGCATCTGACCGATTGGAGATTTCTTCCGAGGCCAGCTCTTATCAGCCGTCATTAATTAATTCTCAGGAACGGGACGAGCAACTCATTTCCCCTGGACGGGACAAAGAGGTAAGCAGCTTGCGAGGCAAAAGACCAAGGGAAGCGGGCAACAGCTGAACTCGGCTGGCTTTGCCCTGGTTTGAGGCGGGGAAAGATTGGTGAGAAGTGAGACTAGTGGTGATGATCGCCGAGGTTCTTGCAGCGCATGACTGATTGTACCTGTCGCTGACGGTGTACGATGTACGGAGTACAGCCAGGGAATCTGAGCTCGCAGACGATGCAGCATGCACAAATATGATCTGATACCTCTTCTCACGGCCGATATCTCAATCGGTGACTCTTCCGCTTCAGGGGCATCCCCCTCATCTTCACCACCGATTCACTGAATCTCCCTCCCCCCACAACCCAAATCTGCCAAGTCCAAGCGTATCTTCAATTCTCCAATCCGTGGTTCTTCCCGGACCCGCTTGGACTTGCCCGAATATGCTTAGAACCCCGATAAGCAAGTGTGATAAGTTGACCATCCCCGTCGGTGGAGCTCTTCAGCCCGTGTTGAGCTTCTGCAGCTTTGGGTAGGTCGATGAACCCGGTGGCTCAGCGGAGCTATTGAATTAGCATGCTATAAAAAGTTGGCGATTGCCCAGTTTCTTTCCCTTGCTCTCTCCCAGCTGCCCCTCACCCACCGTCTTTTTCCTTCGCACCATGCGATCTCTCCTGCTGGCACTTCTCGGAGCGTGGGCTGTCCAGCCCACCGCTGCCCATGTGGCTCATGCTCGTGATCAGGGCCAATGCAAGCAGACCACCGTCGCTATTCTGTAGGTCGCCTCTTGCTGTCGAAGAGGAACGTCACTGACTGGTGTAGTGGTGGTGGTATGGCTGGCATTGCTGCTGCGGTAGGTGTCAACCGACCATACAGTGAATCGAGGAGTAGCTGACTCCAACAGCAAGCGCTGCACAACGCCTCGATGAACGACTTTCTGATTCTCGAGTACAATGACCGCATTGGAGGACGGGCGTGGCACCAGCCGTTCGGCAAGAAGAAGGATGGCAAGCCGTATATCATCGAAAATGGCTGCAACTGGGTAGGCCGGACCGCTTGGTATTGTTGGCAACCTCGCTGACTCGTGCAGGTGCAAGGTCTTGGAAGCCCTGGGGGTCCGCAGAATCCCGTCTGGACATTGGTGAATTAGCCCGCAGTCTCAACGCTCAGTGCGCACGAAGCTCACAGTCCCAGGCCCAAGTGTACAATCTCTCGACCACCTACTCCAACTACAGCAACCTGTCAACCTACAACCACAACGGCTACAGCGATTACTCCTACCTGCTGGACGAGTACGACGACGCCTACGACATCGCCAACGCCAACGCGGGCGTCATTCTGACGGACAACCTGCAGGATTCCACGGCGCAGACCGGTCTTGCAATGGCCGGGTGGCGTCCAAAGGTGACAGATATGGAGGCGCAGGCGGTGGACTGGTGGTCTTGGGGTAAATTCCCCACAAATGAGGTCTGACGACTTTCCCCCTGGATAGCACACTAACACCCACCCCAGACTTCGAAGACGCCTACACTCCGGCCGACAGCTCCTTCGTCTTCGGCTGCGCCGGCAGCAACCTGACGGTCAACGGCTTCAGCGACGAAGACAACTTCGTGACCGACCAGCGGGGGTTCAGCACGATCATCGAGGGGATGGCATCGACCTTCCTCCGGCGCAACGACAGCCGCCTGCACCTGAATACCCAGGTCACCAACATCACCTACACCGCCACGGGGGTGACGATCACCACGGCGTCCGGCGACTGCTACCAGGCCGCGTACGCGATCACCACCTTCTCGCTGGGGGTGCTGCAGCAGTCGGACGCGGTCAGCTTCTCGCCGGCGCTGCCGCAATGGAAGCAGGAATCCATCCAAGCCTTCACGATGGCGACGTACACCAAGATCTTCTTCCAGTTCAACGAGACCTTCTGGCCCGCGGACACGCAGTACCTGCTGTACGCCGACCCCGTCACCCGCGGCTGGTACCCGATCTGGCAGTCCCTCAGCACCCCCGGGTTCTTCGAGGACAGCGGGATCATCTTCGTGACCGTCACCCAGGACTTCGCCCACCGCGCCGAGCGCCAGTCCGACGAGCAGACCAAGCAGGAGGCCCTCGCCGTGCTGCGCGCCATGTTCCCCAACGTCACCGTCCCGGACCCCGTCGCCTTCCACTACCCGCGCTGGTCCACCGAGCCCTGGGCGTTCGGGACCTACTCCAACTGGCCGCCCGCCGTGACGCTGGAGATGCACGAGAACCTGCGCGCCAATGTCGACCGGGTGTGGTTCGCCGGCGAGGCCACCAGCGCCGGCTACTTTGGGTACCTGCACGGGGCCTGGTTCGAGGGCCGCGCGGCTGCGCAGGAGGTCGGCCGGCTGTTGCGCGGCAAGTGTCTGGCGGGCAACTACACGGGCAGCTGTGAGGGCCGGAAGCGGTACGAGGTGCTGCATGGCACGAGTCCGTTGGCAGATTATACGGCGGTGGATGGGTGGACGGCGAATAGCTTCTACGACTTCAATGATGATTAGTCGTGTCGCCACCGATGAGATGAAGGTAGAGGTAGGGAAGTTAGGGGAGTTGTATATAGGTTCATTGTGGTGTGTATTTAGTAGGGGGTGTATCTTATACCACGTCCATGACACTGTTGGCCTCTCACAAGTAACCCGTTGTTGTATACTGTGTTCACATCACATCAAGCTTCATGACCTTCATAACTATATCCCATTCCCCTCGACTATCAACAAACACCACCTCCCCACAAACTTCCGTTCGCCCCCCTGAACTCCCAACCCATACCCCTCCTTAAGAGAGAGAGGGGGGAAAGGGAAGAAATCACCACTGGCACCAATTCACCTCCAGGCTCACATTCGCTGTCGTCAGGTACGCCCCCTGCGCGGTGTCGTAGCACGGCTCGACGACCTCCTTGAACGCATCCAGGCACTCCTCCATGCCCCCGAACACCCCCGTCTTGGCCACCCGGCCGCGCTCCACGTGGCTGGCGTTGTTGCTGATCCACTTGTCCCAGTCCCCGTAGTTGACGTTCCACCGGTAATTGCAGTACTGCAGCGACCAGAAGTTCTTGATCGCCAGCTTGCTCAGGCAGTTGGTGCCTTCGCTGGTGGGCGCGCCCGAGTAGCAGGTGGTTGTGGCCGTGGCCGTGGTGATGAGGGGGAGGAGGATTGTGGTGAGCTTCATTTTGATGTCTTTTCAGGGAATTAGGGTTGACCTTATACTGTGGGAGGCGGTTGGGGGGGGGGACTGACTTACTGGGATGGTTTGGTTCGGACTTGGGTAGGAGGGTTGGTCTGAATTGCTGGGAAAGTGTGCTGGGGAATGTGGCCTTTATATACCCCCTTCCTTGGGGGACTCTGTTCCACGAAACGTTGTTGTGATTGTGTGGTTGTTGTTGTCTGGAAGCAAGGAAGTGAAATCTGCCAGGGACAAAGTCAGAATCTTCACTTTACTCATATCGCCTACGTACGCACCAAGTATCATCCAAGCAAAAAAGACCAAGATATGCATTCTATGCTACGCTAAAGTCTATACCCTATGCTAAAATTAACAGAAAGAAAAAAAAGGCGCCGGCCGCAGATATGCATGCATGTGTTAGACACGCGCCAACCCCCCAACCCCCAGCTTCCACTTTCCTACTGTTTCTCCTCCCTTGCGCATTCTCCCCGCCAACACCCACGAATCAAGACTTCAAGCAAGGAAACGAAACAATCAAAACCCCCACTGCTCCAACCAATTCCCCATCAACTCCCCCGTCACACCCCCCAACCTCGCCATCGTCTCACTCCCCTGCCTCGTCCGCTCCACCGCAATCTCCGCCGACAGCACGCTCCCACTCAGCCCGCGGTAGAAATCCAGCAGCTTCAGCGCCGGCTTCGCGCGGACCTCCTCCTCGCTGGGCGAGGGGATGCTCTCCAGCTCCCGGAGCCAGGCGTCGAAGCCCACCGCCTGCACGTGGGGGTATTTGGCCTGGATGGCGGGCACGAGGTCGGCCCAAGCGGTCTTGGTCGGGTTGACGAGGTGGTAGACGCGGTGGGGGGTGTGGGATTGTTCGCCGCGGCGGGTGTGTGTGAGCTCTGTGGTGATGGTGGCGAGGGTGTCCTGTGCCATCAACCTTGTTAGCTTTCTGTCTCTTTTCTTTGCGTGTGTGTGTGTGTGCCTCTTTCTGATGTTCTCATCTTTTGAGGAAGATTAACAAAAGGGGGAGGATACTCACCACCGGCACCCAATCGACGGCATACCCGCCCAGATCCTTGGGCACCTTGCCCATGGCCACGCTCGTCTTGACCAGGTTGGGCACCCACTCGTCCACATTCCACTTCCCCTGCCGGGTGGTCGGCCCCCCGATCTGGCCCACGCGGAGCACCGTCGTCGGGATCCCCGAGCGCTGCGCCGCCGCCCAGCACAGCCGCTCGCTGACGAACTTCGACTCCCCGTAGCCCTGCTCCAGCACCGCGCGCACGTCCTCGACGGGCGCCTCGGGCACCACCCGGCCCATCTCCGCCGTCCAGCTCCCGATCGTGCTCACGCTCGACACGAACGCCAGGTGCGCGCGGTGCGCGCTGGCGTGGCTGAACCGCAGGAACTCCAGCACTCCCCGCAGGTGCGGGTCCTCGAATGACTCCAGCGGGTGGTTGAAGTTGACCTTCCACGCGTTGTGGATGATCAGGTCCACGGACTTCAGGAGGGTGGTGAAGGTCGCGTCGGGGAGGCCGAAGTGCGCCGCGCCGAAGGCGACGGTTAGGAATTCCACGCGGTTGGTGTCGGAGAGGAGGGCAGCGTCCAGACCCTTGGTGGTGAAGCTCTCGCGCTGGCGGTCCGCGGCCGTCGCGCTGCGGTTGAAGCAGTAGATTTTCGCGACCGTGGGGGAGGTCAGCAGCCGGTGGAGGAGGTAGGTGCCCAGGGAGCCGGTCGAACCTGTCAGGATGACAGTGGATTTATCGGGGAGAGAGGTAGGCAGTGGCTTGGGGGGCGGGAGTTGGGAGGCGTATTTCTCGATCATGCTGGCGATGCGCTCGGGGCGGGAGATGGTCGTCGTGCTGGTTTGGCCGTGCACGAGGTCGACCAGATACTGGCCCAGTTGGGCGACGCTCGGGTGGGCGTAGATCTGCTGCTGGTTGATTGCGACGAGGGTGTCGGTGAGGCGGTTGGAGACCGCCGTCTGCAGCGTCCGCGCCAGCTGGATCGTCTGCAGCGAGTCCATGCCGGCGGCGTAGAGGTCCTCGTCGTCCGCCAGGTCGGCGCGGGCGAGGAGCTCGGCGACGAGGCTGCGCACGTACTCGCACAGGTGCGCCAGGTCCAGTGTGTCCGGCAGCTGGGGCACGCCGGCCGCCTCGGCCGCGGCGGCGGCAGCGTAGATGGCCTCGATCTCGTCCGCGTAGTCACTGTTGACGGCGCGGCGCTTGGTCGTGCCCTTGGGAGTCACCTGGAATGGCTTGGCGGGCGAGGCCAGCCGGACCTTGTTCTTCGACACCCGGCCGTACTTGGGCACCGTCTCGTTGGCCCGCTCCACCGTGGGCCAGATGGCCTCGATGAACGCCTTCTCATCGGTCACGGGCTCGCTGGGCTCGACCAGCAGCGCCGTCTGGAAGCGGCTCTGGCCGATGACCAGTGCGTGCTTGACGCGCGGGTGGCCCTCAACCGTCTTCTCCAGCGTCACGGGGTTGAGCTTCTCGCCGTTGCTCAGGACGAGGACGTCATCCTTGCGGCCGTGGTACTTCCACAGGTTGGGCCGCTCGGGGTGCTGCACGAAGAGGTCGTTGGTGTGGTATTCGTTGAGGTCGGGGAAGGTGTGGAAGATGCCGTGGATGCGCCGACTGTCGGCGCGCCGGGGGATTACCAGCTCGTACAGTCCATCCCCCTGCGGCTGCATCTCGACACCGTACGCCGGGTTCCACTCAAAGTAGCCCCAGACCTTCTCGCCTTGCGGCACAAAGGAGCTGATGAGCCCCATCTCGCTGGATCCGATCACGGTGATGACCTTGGTGTCCTGCTCCAGCAGATCACCCACCTCCGGGGAGAGCGGCGCGCCCGCGAAGTAGACGGCCTCCAGAGTTCGGAGGGCGGTGCGCGCGTCGGCGGAATGGCTCATGTCTTCCAGGATCGATGGCGGTAGCAGGACGGCGGTGGGGTGCGTGGCTTGAATCACGTCGACAATGATGTCCACTGACAGGGGCTTGTCGGGACACATGACGAATGGGATCTCGTGGAACAGAGCTTCGGTGAAGGCGATGAGGCCCATCAGGTGGAACAACGGCGTCGTCGACATCACCAGTTGTCCCGGTTGGAGATCGTGGAACATCGAGGACTGACGGCCTTGAGGGCGCGAGAGATAGGCGCCCATGTCCATGGTTGCGAGGAAGCCGTGGGTGAGAGGCACGGGCTTGGGCATGCCCGTTGTCCCGGAACTGTGGATGATAATGGCCACCTCATCCTCTGCTTCTGGGTATGACTTTTCGAAGGGGTAAGGGGAACTTTCGGATTCGAGGAACTCGCTCAGAGAGGGAATTTCGAAGATCTGGGTCTCGGGCTGGGCAGTCTGAATCTCCGACACACGGCGCTGCTTGTCACGGGTGTAGAAGAATTTCTGGCACTTGGTGACGGCAAGGATGTGCCTGTAGGCGTCGTCCGAGAGACGGGTAGAGGGAAGAAGAGGCTGGTTGTGGTTAGTGCTGGCCCAGGGTGAGTGAGTGTTGGGGGTATTGTCCTACCTGATAGCCAGTCTTGTGAGAGGCCAGGATGAATACCAAGTACCGCACGTCGTTCGTGGCCATATACGCGATGGTCTCGGGCTGTTTGGCTCGGCCGATGCGAGCTTCGATCCAGCGAGCGCACGCATCAACAGCACGGGCGAGGCCCGCAAAGCTCAATTCCTGGTAGCCATCGGACACTTCAGAGCCCTTGGGGATGAGGCCGACGAGCTCCGATGGGGATGAGCGCGCGCGGTGGTCGACGATCGCGGGCCAGAGTCTTTCACCGGGCAGGTCCGACATGAGTAAATCGTATAGGGCGGGTTGGTTCTGGGATAGATGAATTTGGCACAAGAAAGCAGATGAAGAATTATTTGAAACTGTAGACTAGGTAAAGGCAACGGGAGTTGAGCTGTGTATAAGATGTCCCAGATATGCGAGGGCGACGAGGGTATTTGTAGGCAACGAGTATGGCCGTGCAGGCCATTCTCGAACGATGCCGCCATCCGATAGCAATGAAGCATATTCAATAGAAAGTCGACACAGGCGCAATTGTGCTCAGGGATCGGCGGTGGAGCCTGACAGGGGGAGACAGTCTCAGGACAGCATGCAGAGAGCCCTAGTTCCATACTATCGTCATTCTGCAGATGTTGATATAGACTTGGACGATAATCCCGCTTCAAAATTGGCATCAACGCCACGCCGGCTGATTTCCACGGATCAGTCGTGCCCAGACGCGGCCCGGGTGCTTAGCCCAGGGAAGTCCCAGGTACATCAAACCTAAGCGATGATGATGGCGCGAAGGAAGTACAAGCTTCAAGATGAAAGCATCCTTCCCTTCCCTCAAGTGCCGATTGCCGCAGCCGAGGTTCCATGGGGAGTGATGTCAACTTCACCGGGCACATAACGGTCATACCAGACAGCCCGCCAGACAGCCACTGACGCGCATTATCGAGCAGATGGAATGATCGGGAACCCGACCGGGGGCGAGAGTTGGCCGAAACGAGACCGGTCGGAGTGGGTCATCCCAGCAAGAATGGGAGAAAAGAAGTTGGCAGAAGATGAGGATGAAGTCGTACCAAAGAGGAAAAACGGGTATCGGCACGGGAGGCAGTGGAGTCGCAGCGTTAAAAAGTGGTTAAAGTGAGGAATAGTGAGGGTTAGTGAGGGTTAGTGCAGCCTCATCCGTGCATAGCGGACGGTCTTGCCAGAGAGGGTATGGTCGGGGGAATGCTTATTTGGATGATTGGAGAAAGAAATCATACAGAAAGCAGGGAATGTCAGCAAAGATAGGAGCATCCTACCGGTTCCAGCTTAGTGGGCATTTGACTTGCCCTCAATGGCATGCAGGCATGCATGCATGCATCAATCAATCAATGAGGGGAATCCGTCAATAACAGCCATTGTTGTGGTGCTCCGGCCCCGCCCACTTGGCCTGGTTGGGAAATCTCGGGATCTGCTGGTGAAACAAAACAGCCAACATTGGTGCTATATTAATCCATGGTTGCCTGGCCCCTCTTACTCATTGTCTTCATAGGTTCATGCAGACTCTGCCCATGATTGTATGCTTGGAAATATTGCTGCTTACCCGGGATAGCTGCAGCGTCGGATGATATATATCTACACCAAACCTACCCGGCACCCCAACTATCTTCAACCCTGATCACCTCCGATTGGGGAACAGCTTGAAAGACAAAGGCAGGACATAGAAACTATTATATCATGTCTCGAGCAGGAGGACTCTAGTCATGAAAGAGCAACACAGTCTCAACGATCTGAGATATTTCCAGGGTAGTCAGTAACTTGTAAAGTAACCGGTAACAAGGACACCAATTGAGTTGTATCTCTCCAAGGACTGGCAAAAACACCCCTCAAACGTGATATGCTTGCATCAACCTGAGTGGAGTGATATTCTCATCTTTCCACCACTATCTGGGGATGTGTTTACCCTTTGCAACCTATAATCAGAGCATTGAGTTGAATGTCAGCCTACGCTGTGCCATCCATACCCAGCCTGGTAGAGACTCTCCTGTACCTCAACAGTACTCGATAACAAGCATCCTCAGCACGGATTCTTTTATACCCGTTCCTGATTTATTAGAGCACCTCAGACGATACAATAGTAATGCGTACCCAATCCCAATCCGAGGGTATATGCCTCAACGCAATACACAGGCCACGCATGCAAGCCCACAAAATCCACACCCACAACCACAGCCACCCATTCTCGTTGCCTCCGCCATCAAGATGCTCCTACTCCAGCTAAGCCGAGCGCCACTTTTCAATCATGTACTGTACTACGCGGCTGAAGCTGGATGTGCGACCGTATTCCGCGGAAAACTCCCTCGATCTCTTTTCCGCCCCGTCTTGCCAATAAAGTTTCAAGCATCTCGGCCGACGACGTCACGGTAAGCCGTGCCGGTGGTACAGTTTATCTACCAAATCTGTGCAGGCTTCTAGAACGAAAGCTCGTGTCACGTCATCATGAGCCAGCTCTTTCTGTTCTTTGGGACGGGGTTGTGGATGATGACGGGGTGGTTGGGAGCAGCGCCTGCTGGGTCGGCTGAGAAGTGAAGGCGTGAAGATATAGTCTGAGCTCGGGCAGAAACACAGTGAATTTGCACAACTACTATCAACATTCGTACACGAAAAGAACTGACTGGTACAAACAACAGGCTCAGCAGGGATGGGAAACATTCTTCGAGTCCATCCTGTACTCGCCATATACATCAGGAAAAATCAACTGCTGAAGACCTTCCACTCGACCAAGCGCACCTTCTCCCCCTTTGTCGGCGTAAACACCAGCCTTACCTGGCTTGTCTGCGCCGTCTGCCACGAAGCATTCGTGATCCCGTTCGCCAGCGGCTTATCATACTTAGCCTTCGACACCGCCGTCCACGAGTCTCCGTCGAGCTGCTCGATCCGATACGAGGTGGGCACCGCATACCCCTGGGTGGCATTCGCGAAGAAGGCGATCTCCGCGCGGCCGGTCTGCGTCGCACTGCCGAAGTTGATCTGGTACCAGATCTCCGTGCCGTTGCCGGCGGGACTGTCCCACCCGTTGGCTACGTCGGTCTCCGGGTAGAACCAGACTCGGCCGTCGATGGCGGCGTGCACATCGTCGGCATCCGCCCCGGCGACCGAGACACTTCCCGCCGGATACTCCGTGGTGGTCCCCAGCTGGACGGAGACGGCGATGGGCCGGTCGACGGTGGGCGGCGCCGCGCGGGTGATGTTGGCCGTCAGGCGCGTCAGCTTCGACGCGCTGGCGACCGTTTTGCCGTCGACCTCCACGTAGAGCCCGGCCTTGCCGTAGTGCTTGCCCGTGGCGTCCCACTGCACGGCGACCTCGTGGCCGTGGTAGAGAATGCGCTCGGCCCGGAAGTATGACACGGTCCCGCTGTCGGCCTGCGGGTTGACCTCCAGGACATTGTCGGCGCGGGCTCGCAGCCCGACGAACCCGGACAGGATAACGTCGACGAAGCCGGAGTGGAAGTAGTGCGGCGAGCGCGTCAGCCCCACGATCGGACTGCCGGTGTCGGCATAGTAGTCTTCTTCCACGTCGAGAATGCCGCCGCGGGCCGGGTTGTAGTGCAGTCGGGCGTATTGCAGCAGGATCTGCGTGTAGTCGGCTTGGTTGATGACCCCCGTGGCGGCGGACATGGGGTAGTGGTCGAGGAGATTGGCCAGCGCCGTGAGCACCTGGGTCGTCTGGTATGGCCAGGCCGGGCCGTTCCACTGGCACTCCGGGTGGGTGCCTTCGTAGCGATACTGCACCATGTAGTACTGGTAGCTGGGTTCGTTGGTGCGCAGCCCGTGCGTCCCAGCCAGCTTGTCCGAGTCCAGGACGTGGCTCCAGGCTGCGGCGTAGGTGGCATTGTCGTCCGGGAGGTCATGCGCCCAGGGCACGTAGCCGACGAGCTCTCGGCCGCGGATGAAGTCCCAGTATGTCACGTACTCGTTGTTCACCTCGTAGCGGTCGATGAAGTGGGAGAATGTGCTGTTCCAGAGGTCGGCCTGAACGAGGCGCTGGAGCGTGTCGGCGTAGGCATTGTACTGGTCCGCCACAGCGGTGTCACCCGTCAGCTCGGCCAGTTGAGCGATCGCGCGCGCGTTCGCGTATTGGTAGCTGTTGATGCTGGGACGGAAGGAGTATCCTCCTGTGAAACCGTCCGTGCCGTTGGTCGCGTCGATGCTGGAGATGGTGTACTCGGTGGCATCAGTCAAGGGTTGGATCCAGTACAGGCCTTTCGATGAGTCGTAGCCGCCAACCCCGAGGGTCGTCGAGTTCCAACCCTGAAAGAAGGATTGCATGGCTGAGAGATGGGCCGTAGCGTCGTCAGCGACGCCGTCCACCAGATACACCTGCCACACCCCATCGGCGAGGGACTCGGAGAACTGGTTTTGGATCCCGTTGGGCCCGAACAGGAAGTTGCCATAGTCGCTGGTGAAGCGACGGTCTCGCGACCAGCGCCCTTCGCGCAGGTGGAAGTTGGAGGCATCAATCAGCAGTGCCCATGGGCTCTTTTGCCAGCTCACGTCGTTGAGAAACTCGGTGGTCAGGTAGCCTTCGGCGCCCAGGTCACGCTGATGAGCGCGGAAGACACCCCAGCGGTAATAGTAGACATCTTGGAGCACGGTCTGGTCGGTCTCGAAGAGTGGAATGCGGTCACGATACCAGGGGGCATCGTTGCCAAAGTACTTGGAGGTGATGGTGTTGATGTTCAACGCGGTGACTGGGACTAGGCCAGCAGCCAAAGCAAGTGAGAAAGCGGTACTGAGGGTCAACATCTCGGTGAGCGCTACATTTCCACTTCAATTCGAGTTGGAACGAGGAGTCTCGGCTTAAATGTTACCCCACAGGAGCTCTGCCCCTGGAACGGCTTGTGCTGATACTCCGGTGGGGAGAGACATGAAGAGCCCGGGGTATCCGGAGAATTTCCTGATTGGAGTACCTGAAGAAGAGCCATGGCTGAAGACAAAACAGATTTAACCGTCTTTCGTGCGGGGAAAGCACCAATCCTGAATCGCTGAAGATATTGCTTGGCAGGGGGGGATGGAGGTACTCAGTCATGCCATCAGTGCTGGTCTCGAAAATGAGTGAATGACGAATTTCCACTTGTGGAGATGATGAGCAATTTGGAACCTGATAAGCATGCAAGATGTATGAATAATGGCAATGGATGACGATGGCGGGGGTGGGGGTGGATGCTTGGAGGAGGAAGGAAAAGAAAAGAAAAAAAGAATAGTCACGCCCGGGATCGAACCGGGAACCTTCTCGGGTCGTTCAGCGGATGTGAACGAGAAATCATAACCATTAGACCACGTGACTGTTTCTTGTTGGTTTGTCCTTTGATTGTTCCCTCTATAGAAACTCTTCCTGCTCACTATCTTGTTTCTCCTCCACCCATACCCAGTTCCGAAAACATAACTCACACAGCAATTTGATTCCAGGCTCACTGCTCGCGGATTGTATGCATACACTTTTGAGGTCAGGAACCAGAAATCTAAGCGACCTGGTCGGTGCGGTGTTGGCGACTGACCAGGAAGAGCTTCGTCGAAGGCTGTCCCCAAGCTGCCGCAATGAAGTATTCGTACAACACCCATCAATCAAGTGTGACCCACTCTGCTGGTTGGAATACTTCACTGGACCAGAATATCGAACGAGACATATTTTTCCTGAAGTGATTCTAAAGGTTAGCTGCTAGGCTGATAATCTTTTACCGCTTAAGGCCATCGGAGAGTTCATCCGACCAAGTGCATGACTACGGAGTATTGCACCCGACTAGCTGGACAACATCCTGAGAAAGTAATGAAGGCCGAGTTTCCAAATTCAGCTACGGATCCAAGGATGATCATGCTATCACCGAAGGACAATTCCCATCAGATAAGATCAAAGAAGGTGCCTAAGATCGGCCGCGAGGTGTCGTGCATCCACGCAATGGCAACAACTATCCTTGTCTAGCCGAATGGGAGGGGGGGTTGCGATGCACGAGGATGAGACCAACCGAGTTAGGGCAAGACGCCCGAGGAGTGGAGGAACTGATGAAAGAGTCTACGTCAGCCACTCCTGAGTTTTCTCTGCTCCGAATTCCGAATTCTCTCCCCCCAGTCCCCCATATTTGTTTGATTAATCCGGCAGCCTGATCTGGAGTGTCTTTGAACCCTCCAGAGTTCTGTCATCTGTCTTCTGCACACTGCATTGAATGCAGCAAGAATGCACTCTCGGGCTGTGAGCTGCCCTGCTGCTGCGCGGGACGAAAGACAAAAATGGCTCTGCTCGTGCTTCACGTGATCGGCTTCGGCCTTTCGGCGATTGTGGGCGGACGCGCCGCCATCCTTCTCGCCCTTCGGTATCGACCCCGACACAAACAACATCGCCTGTCACTCCCACTCCAAGACGACTCACAAACCGACTATCATGACAAAGATGGTCATGCTACTCCCGAATCCATTCGGACCTTTTCCGACAAGGCACCTTGCACTGTTCTGCTTATCGCGACTGCCACCGGGGTCTGCTTGTCGGTAACCGAGATCGTCGTCCGTGCTATCACCTCAAATCCCGCCTTTACCTGGTTAGTATGGCTGCGCATCGCTGCGTGGGTGATGCTGGTGATCAGCCTGTCAGTTGTAATGCTGGAGAGAGAATATACGACTCGTTTTACGCATGGCTGCCGGGTCAGTGTCGGCTGTCTTGCTATGCTGGCCATGCTTACCAGCGAGGCATATCGCTATCATGAGGCCGATGAGCTCTCTGCTTCCCAGCGGTTCTTCCTGTTAGGGCAAATATGCGCTGCGATCGGTGCCTGCATCGCGGCTGCTTCCATCCCGCGTCGTCCGGACGTCTATCGCGATGGTACCCTGGTGGATCGCAAATCATCGACTTCCCTCCTCAAAAGACTATCATTCAGCTGGTTACATGTTTCCTTGTCTTCCGGTCAGAAACACCTCAATGTTCAAGAGGTCCCCGAGTTAGAATACTCCAACCGAACGTCGACTCTTTCCGATCTCATGCGCGAGGCTCGCGCAGCCTACCCTTCCGGCACAAGCCTGTGGAAATTCCTCTGCATCTGCCATCGCAAACCTCTAGCTTTCCAGCTCTGCCTGACTCTGATCCATGCAGTTGTGTCTTTTGCGCCTCAATATGCCATCCTCAATATCCTGCAGCGACTAGAGAATGATCCCAATGACTCTTGGTTATGGCTACCCATCATCGGACTTGGCGCCTCACTCATTTTCTCGGCACTCCTTGAAAACTGGAATTACTACCATTCCTCCAACCGAATCGCTGTGCGGCTCCAGGAACAGCTGTCAGCAGCTGTCTACGATAAGGTTCTGAGTGGCAAGACTGCTCGGAGCACACCGGTCGCAATGAGCAACGACGAGGGGGAGCAAGGTACCATGAATCTCGTGGCCGTTGATGCGAAAAGGGTAGCCGACTTTTCTGCCCTTGGCTTTATGCTCTGCGATGCGCCACTCAGGATCCTAATCGCAGCCATCTCGATCGGTCGCTTACTGGGACTGCGAAGTCTTGCGGCCGGTGCAGTGGTCTTTTCGCTTGTCACCGCAGGCAACATACACGCTGTGTACAAGTATGCTGGTACGCAGAAGGCTCTCTTGAAATCCCGCGACAAGAAAATGGCAACTATAATCGAGGTATTGCTAGGCATCCGGCAGGTCAAGATGTCTGCATTGGAGGACAAGTGGGAGGGTTGCATCAACGGCTTGCGCGACAGAGAACTGGAAAGCCAATGGCAGGTCTACATTTGGGAGCTGTTGATGTTCGTCACTTACAATGTTGCCCCTGTTCTGGTATCTGCCGCATGCTTGGGCACGTATGCAATCTTCCATGAAGGGATGCCTGCTTCCATCGCCTTCACTTCCATCTCTCTTCTCGGTGCTCTGACTACGCCTCTGGCTGTCCTTCCGCAGGTCCTGCTAAGCGCTACCAGCGCGCAAGTAAGCCTTCGACGGATTGAGAAATTCCTACGCTCTCCTGACCAGCATCTCCAAGTCCCATCGGCGGATGACGTGGTCGTGGACCAAGCGACACTTTCCTGGACGAACCGCCACCTCCGCGGGGCCTTCAAACTGAACGATCTCACACTCCTATTCCCCGCGGGTGCGTTAAGCGTTGTGACTGGCCCGTCAGGCTCCGGTAAAAGTCTCATTCTCGCCGCTATTCTAAACGAATGTGAGTTTCTTGCCGGCCAAATGCGGAGACCGCCATCTTCGGCTATCGCCTTCGTCCCCCAGGAACCCTGCATCCGCAGCGGCACTGTTCGAGACAACATCCTCTTTGGCAGTCCGTTTGACCAAGATCGCTATCAGAGCGTGGTTTCAGCGTGCGCTCTGAATCGCGACTTGGAGCTGATGGACATGAAGGACAATACCGAGATGGGCCCGCAAGGCAGCAACCTGAGCGGGGGACAGCTATGGCGTGTTTCACTTGCACGCGCGCTTTACTCCAGTGCCGAGATTCTTGTGCTGGATGACATTTTCAGTTCGATCGATGCACAGACCGCACAACATCTATACGAGAATGCGCTCATGGGGAGCCTTGCCCAGGGACGGACGCGCATACTGGCGACGTACCATCTTGAGCTGTGTCTCCCAGGTGCGGAGTATGTTGTTGCTCTGGATGAGTCAGGGCTGCGATATGCTGGGCCTCGGAAGAATCTGAAAGAGATGGGAATCTTTGGTGATATGCCTTCTGCCGCGATGCGTGAAGAGAAGCCTTTACTTTCGAGGAATACGCAAGATTTTGGCGATTGTTTGTCTGAAGAGGCGCCTTGGGGTGGCACTCTTTTACCTTCAGAGCAAGAGCAGACTCTATTGGAAGACCGAGGTCAGGTCGATGCCGCGCGGATCAGCAAATGGCAGATCCGCCAAAGGATTTTCAAGCTCTCGGGCGCTGGATATCGCTGCATGATACTCCTAGGACTGTATCTCTTATACAGCGGGCTGGGCGTAGGACGAGTAAGTTATACCTCTCTCGCTTGGTTTATGGTTGTGACTGACATGGACAGGGTCTTTGGATGATGGTCTGGAGTAACAACAGCGGTCCATCTGCGGGGGAGGCCGAAGAATCCTTGGAGATGAAATCCACGGCGGTGACAAGTGACGTGAGATGGTTCCTTTCTATCTATCTGACTCTTGCAATTGTCTCGTGCTTGGTCACTGTGGCACGGAGCTTCCTAGCCATACGTATCGTACTGCAGATGTCTCGACGACTCTTCCATCGCTTCCTCGACTCGATCCTTCGTGCACCCCTACAATGGCTCGACAAGCTCCCCACCGGGAATATCCTGAACAATTTCTCCACCGATTTCAGCCTGATCGATTCGCGACTGGGCTATGATCTCAACTATGCTCTCGGGCTTCTTGTCGATCTCCTTGTCATCGTCTTAGCAGCGTCAATTGTGAATGTCTGGCTCAATCTTCTGTCACTGGGCTCGCTTCTTCTGGCCACGTACTACGGGCGGAAGTTCATCAGGAAGATCCGCGCTGTCAAGGAACTAGAAAGCCGGATGCGAAGCCCCATCCTCAATCATCTGTGTGCGACCGTAGACGGTATCATGACCATCCGCGCCTACCAACAACAAGAGACCTACCGCGACGAGATGCATGCACATATTGACCGCCACTGCCGCGCCTCGTGGAGCCTATGGCTCCTAACCCGTTGGATCTCCATGCGAGCCAGCACGATCGGCGCCATCTTCACGACCCTTGGGTCAGCGCTGGTCCTCTGCACGAACGGCGTGACAGCCGCGACTGCGGGATTCGCCATC